CAACAAACGCATCTGCACATTCGGATGAGCCGATTGTCATCTCGTCCGGCACACCAACACAACATGACAGCACGGGACAACGCTCAGGAAAAGCCAGTGAAAGCGCCGCCCAGCCGATGCCTGGCATAGGAGGAAACAGGATCGCACCAAGCCCACGGGAGCCTCGAGAAGTCCGTCGGCACGTGGAATTTGCGGCGACAAGTGGCGAACACTCCAACATGGCACCAATGCCGCTCAAGCCGCAACGCCCGCCCTGCTTCGACCCAAGTCAACGCGGCGGTCCGACAGTTCAATCGTGGGTCTTCACGATGAACATTTTCTTCGACGCCAATTACGTCGAGTCGGACGCCGCAAAGATCCGGTATGCGGTTTCACTTCTAAGGGGCCCCGCCATGGACTGGTGGCGAGTCTGTCAGAATGTTATCTTATGTTCTAGCCTGTAGTGGGGTGCTCTATAGCGAGTATAACCCTTCTAGGGTTTGCTATTTGTATCCTCATTCCTGCTAGTTCAACGCTCTTCTTTCTTCTAATTTTGTCAGAGTCATCGTGACGTCGCCACGCGCCTACGAGCCACCGTCGCACGAGGAAGGGCCCTCGGGTCCAGCTGTCACCTGGAGTTCGTTCTGCGAGACCGCCCAATACAGCACGTGGGATGCGTGGTGCGCAGGGCTTCGGGCGCGCTTTGAGCCGATCTCGGGTCAGTTCATGACTATACCAGCGGTTTTCTCGCACTTTGCGAGCAGGTCGGCTACATGCATGAATCGGAGCGGGTGGACCGTTACGTCGGAGGTCTGAAGCCAGACATCTCGCACGAGATAATGCTGCGCGGACTCTCTAATTTCAACGAGATTCTCGCGCTCGCCGAGAAGATCGACATCCTACGCCGACCGAGACCAGGGTCCTACTACGGACATCGTCCTCGGGGACCGACCGAGCACGCCACTGTACACGCCGTCGCGACGAATGCAGCTGCCGCACCGTTCAAGGGGCGCTGCTTTGCTTGCAACAGGCCGGGCCATGGCAAGAGCGAATGCCCAGAGGAGCTGAGGCGCCGAGGAGCAAAGCAGGGGAGGGAGTCTCAGAGGCAGGGAAACGCCAGCAGTCAGTAGAAGTTGGGCCAACTACTGACGAGACTGCCTGCTCGCCCAACCACACCGACCCTCACCGAGTCACAGTACCGATTCATGCCATCGATCGGGCTCGGATGAATAAGGAGGGTACAGCGACGGATTGCCCGATACTAATCTACAGGAAAATACAGGGAGCAGCAGTGAAGATTTTTATTGACGGAGGAGCAAGTCACAGCTTAGTTAATACCGCAACCGCACGGAAACTGCAGTTAACACTTAACCGATGCTTACCTGAGATAGATGCACGCTTAGTCGACGGCACGCCACTGGCTATACGGGAAAAGGTGGAGAGAGTAAAAGTCCGCTGCGGAGGGAACTTCGCGTTTACACGGGAAATGCTCGCAACAACTCTGGATGGGCACGACATTTTATTGGGACGTGATTGGCTGCGACGGTATAACCCACGAATTGACTGGACAACGGGTAGCTGCACAGTGCGAAGTAGTGGTAACTGGGTCGTCCTACCTCGCTGGCAGCCACCCGAGTCTTCGACGGTCCAGGTCAACGCCATCACTAAGAAACGGGCTGTCGCTGCTGGAGCTGACGTGTACGCAGTGGATATCGCACTAGTGGAAAAAGAGGAGCGGCCGAGTGATTTGCAGAAACTGTTGGTAGCTGTACCACCTGAACTACAGGCACTACTGAAACGGTTCCCGGGTATCTTTCTGGATGACTTACCGCAAGGGCTGCCACCTCAGCGGGCGCATGACCATAGGATCGAGTTAGAACCGGGGGCACAGCCAACTGTAGACTTACGGGGAGGTTACCATCAAATTCGAGTCTAACCATCGGACTGCGCCAAGACAGCATTTAGGACTAGGTACGGGTCATTCGAGTACACGGTGATGCCTTTCGGGCTGACCAACGCGCCTGCAACATTTCAGATGACCATGAACGAGGCGTTTAGGCCACTTTTAGATAAATGCGTGATAGTTTACCTCGACGACATCCTCGTTTACAGTCGGGACCAGCAGCAGCACTTAGTAGATCTCGAAGCAGTTTTTAAAATTTTAGAGGCACATCGGTTATTCACCAAGGGCTCCAAGTGCGAGTTTTTTCGGGACAGACTAGAGTTTTTAGGTCACGTCATTTCGGAGGCTGGGGTTGAGATAGACCCTAAGAAGCTGGATACCGTAAAAGCGTGGCATCCACCGACGAACATCACGGAACTACAGAGTTTTTTAGGGTTTGTCAATTACGTTCGTCGGTTCGTCCCCGACATGGCCCGCTTAACAGCCCCGCTCACTGATTTACTGCGTAAGGGGGTCCCTTTTACGTGGGGGGAGAAAGAGCATGCTGCCTTCTCTGCCCTGAAAATTGTTCTCTGTTCACCACCCGTCCTACGCATCGCCGACCCACACCGCCCCTTCGAAGTTGTTACAGACGCGAGTGACATCGCCATCGGAGCCGTACTGTTACAGGACTTCGGCAACGACCTCCAACCCATCGCCTACGAATCACGCAAGCTACATCCACTTGAGCGAAATCACCCGATACACGACCGCGAAATGCTCGCGATCGTGCATGCATTCAAAGTGTGGCGCTGCTACTTGACCGGCGCAGACGTGACAGTACGGACAGACCATCGATCCCTACAGTACCTCCGTGCACAGCCCCACCTCAACCCACGACAGATTCGGTGGCTCGATTTCCTCGAGTCGAATTTCCACTATACGGTCACATATAAAAAAGGAGCCCCGAATATCGCCGACACACTGACCCGCCCCACTGCCCAGATCCACGCGATACTACTCGCCCAGACCAGCCCGCTACTTACAGGACTATTTACCCACGGATATCAAACAGACCCATTCTTCACAGGAGGAAACTCACCGCAATTCGCAGCAGCCAAGGGAGTCTATTACGTAAAAGCTGGAACCGACCGCATCTGGGTACCAGGATACACGCTACTACGGGAACTACTATTACAAGGGGCACACGACGGAGTTACCTCGGGACATTTCGGAGTAGAGAAAACACGGCAGCAGCTGCAGTGGTACTAGTACTGGCCGGAAATGTTGACCGACGTACAACGACACGTGGCATCGTGTCCCACTTGCCAGCTCATGAAGTCAAGCAGGAAGCGGCCGGCGGGACAATTGCAACCAATTCCACCCCCAGAGCGTGCTTGGCAGCAGGTGACGATGGACTTCGTCACGGGGTTACCGGCTGGGGCGAGTGGGAATGGCGCGATCCTGGTCGTCGTCGATCGACTGACGAAAATGGCACATTTCGCAGCCTGCAAGAAATCAATCACAGCCGAGGAAACAGCCCGACTGTTCATCGCCACCGTCGTTCGACTGCACGGGATACCAGCGTCGATCATCAGCGACAGGGACACGAAGTTTACCAGTAATTTCTGGCGGAACCTGTGGCAGCAGTTCGGCACGCGACTTCAATTCAGTTCATCATATCACCCCGAAACCGACGGACAGACAGAACGGACAAACCAGACCATGGAGCAGCTGATTCGAGCCACGTGCGACGATCCAAACACGTGGGAGCAGCAGCTGCCTCTCATCGAGTTCGCATACAACAACGCGCCATCTGCCACGACCCAACAGCCGCCATTTTACTTGAACTACGGGCAGGACCCAACAGTACCCATGACACCGAATCCCGACAATCATGTTCCACGCGCACAACAGTTTGCCGAGATTCTGCAAGCAGCACGGACCAGGGCAGCAGAAGCAATCAAAAAATCAAATATCATCGCTAAACGCAACTCCGATCGCCACCGCAGACCCGTCACTTATCAGCCCGACGACCTCGTTTTACTCGACACTCAGAACCTCCGCCTGCCCATCACTCCCAAACTCCGCCCTCGATACTGTGGGCCATTTCGAATCAGTCACATGATCACACCTGTCACCGCGCACCTCCTCCTTCCTGCTGACTGGTACGTCAGCCCCTCGTTCCACGTCAGCCTACTTCGCCCTTACGTACCATCCACCAGCCAACTCCCACGACATCGACATCCAGCATGACACGACCACCAACCGAACCAGTCATCACCCCCGACAAAATCTTGAGCCACAGAGTTCGCGACCCTCGAGGAGCCCGAAAAGTTTCTGATCCACTGGAAAGATCGTACACCCACCGAGGACAACTAGGTTCCCCTGGACAAAGTTGAAAACCACCCTATCGTCACTGACTACCTGCGCAGTCGAAACTTCAAAGACGTCCACGCGCTTTCGTAAGGAGGACCTCCTTAGGAGGGGGGGTAGTGTAAGGAAATTCCCTTTTCCTTACTTCGCATCCCTGCTCAACGCATACATCACTATAGCACCTCAGTCAGCACCGTTACCACTCGCTATCATCGCACCATTCATCATCCCGCCATTTTCGCACATCGCATCCCGACCTCACGGCTCGGCTGGTAACCCGCGCTCCGGGCCTACGCTTCGACATTTTCCCAACCTCAGTCCCAGGCTCGTCGCGCGACCATTACCGTTACCACTGTAGTTTCGCTATATATTCTTCGCTCATGCCTTCGCTCAGTGTACTCTTGCTTCGATAGTGCAAATCTCGTTCGTTCACTCAATTGCACTCGTAACAATAAGAAATGGAAACAGTTGATCGAATAAAGAAGACATCATGCCAATACGAAAACTTAATAACACAGTTCAATTCACAGAAATTTTGCCAATACCAACGACCAGCACAACATGATTAGACGATGTCGTGGTTAGATCTAGGCTCGTTTGCGCTTGCCTCCAGATTTTTTCGCCTGCAAAGTGATTGCTTGCTGCTCTTTCATCGGCTTCTCATTCGCCCCCTCCGGCTTCCCCACACGTATTTGCTTTTGCTTTCCCTTGCCCTTGCCCTTCAGTTTTTGCTCCTTCTCCTGCTGCTGCTGCTGCTGCTCTTTCAACCCAATGCCGTCACCCTCCCATACGGCTCCCCACCCAGCAACACCAACACCACCACCGCTGCTGCTCCGACCCTGCACACTTTTAGAGAGAGCATTCCCGCCGATCGTAACACCAACACTACTTCCTCCTCCTTTACCCGAAGCTATACCTCCACCTCCTCCAGAATCCTTTCTTGTATCAGTACTAACACTTGTGAGAGGTTTTTTGGACTTTTCAGAAACTCCCGCTCGGCCTCCTCCTTTTGCCTTTCGCACCACTGCCGTCCACCCCTCCCCTCCCTCCTCCGCCTTGTGCCCATGCGCTACAGCCGCAGAAGCAGCTGTAGCAGATGCTGCAGATGCAGCTACAGCGGCAGAAAGAGAAGCCGCAGTATCGGGACGTGTAACGCTGGTGGTAACCGTATCTCCGGGCATAACTGTGCCAGTTCCAGGAATGGTTGTGGCAGGTGTGGTGGCAAGAGGTGAAGAAGCAGAGAGGTTGGAGGAGCTGGGGGGGCGGAGGAAGGAGAGAGAGGAGAAGAGAGACGAGAGGAGGGCCGTGTCTGGAGTAGATGGCGTTGCTGCCTGTGAACGGGTGTGGGGAAAAGAGGGAGGAGGGAGGGGGAGGAAGAGAACCAAGAGGTGAAGAAGCAGAGAGGGCGGAGGAGCCGGGGGGGCGGAGGAAGGAGAGAGAGAAGAGAGACGAGAGGAGGGCCGTGTCTGGAGGAGAGGGAGGAGTGGATACCTGTGATGGGTCCAAGCAACAGGGGAAAAGAGAGAGGATTGATGAGTCAGCGGAAAGCGAGCAGGCGAGAGAGGAGAAGAGAGAGGAGAGGAGAGAGGAGAGGGGAGCAGTGTCTGGAGGAGAGGGAGGCGTGGATACCTGTGAAGGGGTGTGGGGGAGAAAGGGGAAGTGTGGGGGAGAACAGAGAATCAAGAAGGGAGAGGTGAGGAAGGAGACGAGAGAGGGGAGGGGGCAGTGTCTAGAGGAGAGGGAGGCGTGGATACCTGTTTGAAGAAGTGTTTTGAGACGTCTCAAAACACTTCTTCAAACATGTGAAGGGGAACAGGAGAAAGGAAGGAGGGAATAAAATGACTGAAACCCAAAAGATAATACAGGTGGGAACCGCATTGTCTGGTGCAACAGTAGTGCCTGCAGAATTGGTTGTGTCAGGTGTAGCGGCAAGGCTTTTGAGGAGGCTCAAAAGTTGCCCCATTGCCCGCAATTGTTACCGCCTTGTCGGGTGCAAAAGTGGTGCCTGACGGAATGGCTGTGGCAGGTACGCCGGCAAGAGTTGAAGAAGCAGAGATGGGGGAGGAGGAATCGATTTTTTAGTCAACTCAAAAAGAGATGGGGGAGGAGGAAGGAGGATGGTGGAAAGAGAGGTGAGAAAAATGATTGGAGGGTGGGGGGAGCATAGCGTTTGGAGGGAGGGTGCGTATATCAGATACATGCTGGCTGGGGTGCTGACTACAGTCTGACGCGTCTCAAGCATGCATTGCACTGGTCAACGACATACTTGTCTTGATGTGCCTGAAAAATGCCGATAGTCTGACGCATCGCAAGCATGCATTGCATTGGTGAGGGGCATACGTGTGGTGTTGTTGGCAATGACAGGTGAATGGTCACACATGACTGCTGCTGCTGGTTTCGTAGCCCAAGAGAATCCATCCTTGGGGTGTTGGCAATGATATGCAGACGACAAGAAAAGGACGCCGGCAACAACAAGCGGCATACGCGTGGTGTTGTTGGCGATGACACGTGAATGGTCACGCATGACTGCTGCTGCTGGTTTCATAGCTCAAGCAAGTGCTTACTTGGGGTGTTGGCGATGATAGGTGGACGGTCACACAGGACCGCTGCTGCTGGTTCTGCTGCCTCCTTGCCTCAGCACGAGCCAGAAGCTTCCTGGAAGGAAAGAAGGGACCAAGAAGGTTTGGATAAAATCAGTGCTACAAGGTTCGCATGTGAGACTTTGCTAAAATACAGAAGCTGGATTCGCTGTATGTATTTACGACGAACGAAGCTCATGGCTCAAAGAATAGGTAAGTCTCACAGTTGCTGCAAGTGCTGCTTTAGCAGGACACTTGCTACTCACACACACTTGTGTGCTGCATGCATGCAAGGCACAAGCCTGACCTGAAGCACAAGCCTGACCTGAAGCACACCAGCACAGGCAAAACCAAAGCCGACCAGGATTCATCACTGCTGGTTGAATATAATACTAGGCGGTTACGGTCAGCACACTTGCCTAAGCGCGATAACAGCCAGGGTTACGTAGTGATTCTGATTCTTGGAGGCCGCGCTTACTTGGGAGTGACAGTCAAGATGATGCGGATCTGATGACGTGTCAGTCCGGCCAGTGTCAGCATGGCCGCCACATCCGCAGGCCTTTTCAGCTGGCGTGCTGATGTGGCACCACAGGATAGTATCAAGCTCTTGCCACGTGTCACCTCAGAGACCTCCTGACATGGGGAACGAAAGCGAATGAATAGAGGAAACACAATGCTGTGATACGTTAATCAATTCCCAAGTTCTTAATGATTAAGCACGCATATATTGCAGAAATTGTTTGGGAAAGAAAAGAAGTAGAATAAACAATCGGCTATCAACAGTAACAGCAAGTGCATTTCCCCCACCTTGATGCCCTGTAACAGGGGTGTCAGTAAGGAGCGGTCTTTCAAGGTAGGTCCGTAGCAGCCTGAGCGGCCTCATCAGCATGAGCCTCATCACCTCACCTTGATGCCCTGTAACAGGGGTGTCAGTAACGAGCGGTCCTTCAGAGCAGGTCCGTAGCAGAACTCAAACACCCGTCCAGCCTGCAAGAACATGGTGTGTACGTGAGAGAATCCCGTTTGATTTTCGGCGAGATAAGCATAACATAAACAAGAACGAAGTGACAAGTGACTTTTGAGTCGACTCAATAGTCACAACGAAGTGATAAGTGATCCAACGCATGTTCGATAGTGATGCAAGCGAGTGGGTGGGGCAAATAGAAGCATCCAGAGTGTAGACATGGAAGTCTACTCTTGGGGCACATCGACAATACTATTTGTGCCGCATGCAAGTGGAGAAAACGGAGGCATCCATCCACCAGGGTAGAGATAAGAATTCCCCTTTATGCCTTGACTTTAGAGTCTTTTGACTCGACTCAAAAGTTGTATTTTTTTCCTTGACTTTAGAGTCTTTTGACTCGAGTCAAAAGTTGTATTGTTTCCTTGACTTTAGAGCCGACGCGAAAAAAATATAGAGGCATCCATCCATCCTTCCAGGGTGGAGATAGGAACTCCCATTCCATGCGACATCCAGGATGGACTCTTGCATCTCAATGCGACATCCCATGGATGGACTCTTGCATCTCAATGCGACATCCCATGGATGGACTCTTGCATCTCAATGCGACGTCCCATGGATGGACTCTTGCATCTCAATGCGACATCCCATGGATGGACTCTTGCATCTCAATGCGACATCCCATGGATGGACTCTTGCATCTCAATGCGACAGAATGCGACAGAATGGACTCTTGCATGGAATGGGAGATGGACTCTTGCATGAAATGGGAGATGGACTCTTGCATCCCAATGCGACAAAATAGAACGCAGAAAAAAATGGCTTGCATACACCACTACCACAGTAGCACCACTATTGGCATCACCATAAAATATGGATGAAGTGATGTGTATGCAGCATTAACATCCTCAACACCAACATCATCATAATCATAATCACCATCCCCATCACCACCACCATCACCACCACCATCACCATCACCATCACCATCACCATCACCATCACCATCACCACCACCATCACCATCACCATCACCATCACCATCACCATCACCATCACCATCACCACCACCATCACCATCACCATCACCATCACCATCACCATCACCATCACCACCACCATCACCATCACCACCACCACCACCATCACCATCACCATCACCATCACCATCACCATCACCATCACCATCACCATCACCGTCACAACCACCGTCACAACCACCGTCACCTGCATCACAGCTTTGATTGCGGCAGGGGAGGGTCGGCTTGGCACAAAGTGGGACACGTCAAAAGAGACAATGTCTGCCTGTGGGAGAGAGGAGGGCAGGGAGGGGAGTGGGAGGGGGGGAGGGGAGATGAAGGGATGGAAGGGGGAGAGGAAGGGAATGAGATGCACTGGGAGGGTCGGCTTGGCACGAAGCGGGACCGATCAAAAGAGACAATGTCCCCCTTTGGGAGAGAGGAGGACGGGGAAGGGAGTGCGACAGAAAGTTACAGGGGTGGGGAGATGGAAGAGGATAGTGAGGGGAGATGAAAGAGGATAGGCAGGGGAGAGGAAAGGGAGTGCGATAGCAGAGGGAGAAAATAATCAGTTTTTGAGGGAGGTTAGCAGAAAATCTGAAACCTGGATGGCAGAAAAGGGCGGTCAGCATGGAACGGAGGGGGTCACGACAATCACGTCATCAAAGCTGGCAGTTGGGAATGGGGGAGATATGACGTCTCCTCGTGTATGCAGATTTATTTTGAGACGTCTCAAAATGGAACAGAGGGGGTCACGACAGTCACGTCATCAAAGCTGGCAGTTGGGAATGGGGGAGATATGACGTCTCCTCGTGTATGCAGATTTATTTTGAGATGTCTCAAAATGGAACAGAGGGGGTCACGACGGTCACGTCATCAAAGCTGGCAGTTGGGAATGGGGGAGATATGACGTCTCCTTGCGGAGAGGAAAGGAAACTCCCCCCGCTCAGTGGCTGTACAGCCGCCAGATCAACCTTTTCTCCTTTGCTTCAAGCCGCAGCTCACTGAGACATGTCTGAATCTCGGCTGTACAGCCGCCAGGTCAACTTTTGAGGCGCCTCAAAAGTCATTGGCTGTACAGCCGCCAGGTCGTATCTGATCCCCTCCCCACCACTGTGGCGGGTAAGTTTAGAGCCAATCCAGGTTTTGAGGCACCTCAGAACAGATCCACACACACACAGACAGACAGACAGAGACACACACACACAAAAACACACGCACTCACTCACGCACTCACTCACTCACTCACTCACTCACTCACTCACTCACACATACACGCCTTGCTGTTGAAGCAGGCGGACAGGAAGCTGCCCCCATACATTGGCTGCATGGCCGCCAGGTCGTATTCGATCCCCACCACTGTCAGCAGTCGCTCTCTCTGCTAGTTGGCTTCACACACACACCCAGCCGCTCATCCACACGAAACTCACACACACACCCAGCCGCTCATCCACACGAAACTCACACACACACCCAGCCGCTCATCCACACGAAACCCACGCACACACCCAGCCTCTCATCCACACTAAACCCACGCACACACCCAGCCGCTCATCCACACGAAACCCACGCACACACCCAGCCGCTCATGCACACGAAACCCACGCACACACCCAGCCGCTCATGCACACGAAACCCACGCACACACCCAGCCGCTCATGCACACGAAACCCACGCACACACCCAGCCGCTCATGCACACGAAACCCACGCACACACCCAGCCGCTCATCCACACGAAACCCACGCACACACCCAGCCGCTCATGCACACGAAACCCACGCACACACCCAGCCGCTCATCCACACGAAACCCACGCACACACCCAGCCGCTCATGCACACGAAACCCACGCACACACCCAGCCGCTCATGCACACGAAACCCACGCACACACCCAGCCGCTCATGCACACGAAACCCACGCACACACGCAGCCGCTCATGCACACGAAACCCACACCCACACCCAGCCGCTCATGCACACGAAACCCACGCACACACCCAGCCGCTCATGCACACGAAACCCACGCACACACCCAGCCGCTCATGCACACGAAACCCACACACACACCCAGCCGCTCATGCACACGAAACCCACGCACACACCCAGCCGCTCATGCACACGAAACCCACGCACACACGCAGCCGCTCATGCACACGAAACCCACACCCACACCCAGCCGCTCATGCACACGAAACCCACGCACACACCCAACCGCTCATGCACACGAAACCCACGCACACACCCAGCCGCTCATGCACACGAAACCCACGCACACACCCTGCTGCCACGTAAAGTCATGGCACCTAATTGGGGCCCACTCGGACTCATGCACACGAAACCCACGCACACACCTTGCTGTTAAAGCAGGCTGAGAGAAAGCTGTCACTGTTTAACGGTTGTACAGCCGCCAGGTCATATCCAACCCCCACCACTGTCGGCAGGCGCTCTGCTATCACCTCAGGCCCGCCCTCCTCCACCGCTGCTGTTATGCGCACGAGCTGCGTGAATGAAGGGCTATCGTCTAGAAGGGGCTTGGTTCGGGGAACACAAAGGAGGGGAAAGAGGGGGGGAAGGGGAGAGCGGAAGGCACAGGACAATAAGTCAACCGGTAATGGCGTCAGTGCCACCTTCCTCCCGCGCTGCTGTCACGCGCACGAGCTGGGCGAATGAAGGACTCTCATTTAGAAGGGGCTTGGTTTGGGAAGCAGGGGTGAGAGAGGAGAGGGGGCGGAAGGGGAACAGGGGGAAGGGATGGGTTAGTGATGGTGTCAGTGCCACCTTCCTCCCGCGCTGCTGTTATGACGCATGAGCTGGGCGAATGAAGGGGCTCTTATCCAAAAAAAGCTTGCTTGGGGAGTATGGAGGAGGAGGGAGACCAGGGAGTGGGAGAGACAAGGAGAAGGAACATGGGAGATAGGCTAGTCAGCAACGCCATGAGGGCCTCCCGCCCTCGTCCACCACTGCTGATATGCGGAGCTGCGTGAAGGATGGGACTTTTGAGGCGCCTCAAAAGTCCACCACTGCTGATATGCGTAGCTGCGTGAAAGACGGGACTTCATCTAAAAGGGGCTTGGTTGGGGGAGAAGGGGTGAAGGAACAGAATGAAGGGGAGAAGGTACGAGAACGATAGGACAGAGACTGACAGTGATGGCATCAGCGCTGCCCTCCTCCTCCTTTACCGCTGCTGTTATGCGCACGAGCTGCGTGAAGGACGGGACTTCGTCTAAAAGGGGCTTGGTTGGGGGAGTATGGAGGAGGAAGAAGGGAAGCGGAAGACAGAGAAAAGGGGAGAGGGGAATCAGTTAGTCTGCCATCGCATCAGGGCCACCCTCCTTCACCGCTGCTGTTATGCGCACGAGCTGCGTGAAGGACGGGACTTCATCTAAAAAAGGCTTGTTTTGGCAACAGAGAGAACCAGAGAGAGTTATTCATGCTTGTAAGTTTTGTATACCAACACAACACCATGCATGTCTACTGCCACCATTATCAATGCAAGGACCGTTTGAGAGGGGAGCAGGGGGGAAGACGGGTTAATGATAATAACAGGGCCGCCCACTCTCGTCCACGCCTGCTGGTATGCCGTCCACTCTCGAGGTGGGAGAGTGAAGGGACTTCCGCTGAACGATGCTTGGTTGGGGGGAGAATGGAGGAGGGGAATGAGAGGGCGAGAAGGGGAGTGGGGGGAAAGGCCAGTCATCCCTCGCATCAGGACCGCCCTCCCCCAGTGCTGCTTTCACCAGGGTCACACCCCGCCAGGGTCACACCCCGCCAGGGCCACACCCCGCCAGGGTCACACCCCGCCAGGGTCACACCCCGCCAGGGTCACACAACACCAGGGTCATCACCAGTTGGGGGAAACGCTGGGGTGTGGTGGGGCTTGGTTTGACGAGTAGAGATGGGGGGGGGGGGGGGGGGGGGGGAGGGGGGAGGAAGGGGGGGGGGAGGGGGTGAAGGGGATATGGGAAAAGATGGGTCAGAGTAATAGAATCTTCTGCTGCTCTTCTTCATGACAAGCACTGACCCATGGGTCAGAGTAATAGAATCGGTCCAAACCTTGTAAATTGATGCTGCTGCCACCCCGTCCCCCCCCCTTCCCCTGTCCCCCCCGCCCGCGGCCCCCTCCCCCTTCCACTCCCCCTCCTGATCTTCTAACCCCCACGCGCCCTCCCGCGTACCTGTGCTCCTTCCCCCGTGCTCCCCACCCTTACCCCTTCCCCCCCTCCCCCCCCACCGTCCCTTCCGCAGCGTACCTTTGATTCTTTCAATGCGAGGCGCACTCTCTCTCGAGTCGGTTCCTGAGGCGACTGGAAAACAGACTACCCTTCTTCCTTGCCCACCCCCTCCCCCTCGCCCTTTCCTCCCCCCTTCTCCCCCCCCCACCTTCTCCCCCCCCCCCTCCCCCCCCTTTTCCCCTTTCCCCGCCCCCCGGCGTACCTGTGCTCCTTTCAGCGCGAGTCGCACTCTCTCTCGAGTCGCCTGCAGAGTGTCCATCGGAACCGCCTTAACGCCGCACCGCTCGCGCGGCTCGACCTTCTCATTGGGTCCCTTAAAGACGTTGAACGCGACGCCATGGTATCCCAGCGCGACAGCCGTTCCCGCCCAATCGCGCTGATCTGTTAGCGACGCGGAGCCTACAATAGGTATGTTAGCTTCTAAAAACATCCTCGATACAAGGAGAGACAGGTGAAAACAAACCAGCCAAGCCAGGAATGCGAAAAGCTAGTGCGACTGCTGTACAAACGAGCTTCTCGATAAGGTTCACGAAGGGAGGCGAGTCGGAGCGAAATAGGCGAGTAACCGTGCGAACATCGCTAGACCTGGTTGTGACGCGCGAAAACCCAACGCCATGACCACCTGGGAACAGGGAAATCGGGATTGAGGTGGAGGTACTGTATGGCGAAAACGGTATCCGTTTGTCGCAAAACATGGTTACTAGTAAGGCAACGCATGCTTGTTCGTTCGGTTCCTTCTCTCTCGGTGCATTACGTTGAAGCACGGTCGCTAACGTTTTCAGGTTTCACCGCTTTCACAAGTCACCGTGCAATTCCCTTTTGTTCTGGCCAAACCGAAATGCCAAACCTGGTTGAGCGACCAGCGAAAACATCGAGTACACATTAGGCGAATCTCAACGACATCAGGTTACCGTATTAAGCTGCATGCTTGGCGAGAGAGCAACCCGTGAAAGAAATAGCCCTTCACAAGTAGTCGTTTCTCGTTTGTGTGCTAGGCTGCCGATCTATGCTGCAGCCTCATATTACATAAAGCGGTAGGAGCCGGCACAGATCTCCCACTTGGCATCACATACGACTAGGCTATTTCAAGCTACGGCCGCGTGCTCTTAAACATGCTTCTAGGAGTTAGCACGGACCGCTCACGCTCCGTCATGTTTGGAAATTGATTATTACGTCTTGGTTTGAACTGATCTAGCTAGCCACTTTCGCGCTCATGTCGCACGATCGTCGATTTGCGCTTCACCCTTCTTCACGATTACCCCCTCTCTCGTGTACCGTTCTCCTGTTCCTGACCTTGGCCACCCCCCTCAGTGTCACATTCTGTACAAAAGCCGTCGATCCCGCTGCAGTCACTCAATCCGAGGGAGGTGAATCCAGATTCGTCGAGTCCAGACCAAACGAATCCCAGGAATCCCGGCAAGTGCGGCGAATCTTGACAGAATTTGACAAGTTGGGATCCGATCCTCAAAACGATGGCGACTCCCCAACCGACACTGAGCCTGATCCTCTCGTTCGGTACCGCGACGTGCCAGGCTCCGAAGCTGACGTCAGCTCCTCCGCGTGGCAAACCCCGTTTCTCCGTCCCCAGCTAATCCATCCCGCCGATCTCGCCGCCGAATGCGCGGAGATCGCGCCGGGGTTCGACCCGGCGGTTCTCGCGGCGCGGGAGTCCTTCGGGCCAATCACGACGCTGGACGATCTAAAGCGGCTCGAGGACGGGCAACGCGTGCTCGTAGTAGCTCCGCGATTCGGCCTCGGAAACACGCTGCGGAATTGGGTGTCAGCTTACATGTGGGCTTTAATCTCCGGTCGCAGAATAGTCATTCTCCACGCGGGCAAATTTCACGGCGTTCTCGCCAGCACATGCGAGGCGTTTAAATGCGACTTCGACCACATATATCCCAAGAAGCTGTTAGATTCTAGGAAAGAATCGGGGAGCAGCAGGAGAAGACTTTCGAGATTCGCGGCGAATCGCGGAAAACGGAGGATCGAGTTAAGCAGGCGGGAAGAAGACATCGACGCAGATGGATCCGAACCTGTGACCGAACCCGAAAGCCAGGCTCGGAGGCGGTTAGTGTTGCATCGGCGAAGGGGTCGGCGTAGCAAGGGGCAGCCGGGTTGGCAGGCGTACGAGTGGGACGCTGACGACGCTGCGACGGATCCAGATGCGATGCTGTACGAATTCGAGAGTAACATTACTTTCGCGACGGTAACCCACCCCACAGCCCGAGCCGCGCTGCAATGGACGGACAAGATCGTCTTCGCGTTCAGCTACGCGTTTTGGGATCACTGGTGGCTAAACGACAGGAGATTATCCCAATGCGCGTGCCGGGCTTTAAATCTCGGATCCTCCTCTCCGGATTTCCCGGAAAAGGTCTCTTGCCGCCCAGTAGCAGGTGGGGGGTACAGGTCAGCAGCCCTCCATGCGTTGCTGGCAGGCGGGCCCACGCTGGCGCTGAGTCAGACGATTCAAAATATCTTGAGAAGGCACGAGCCGGAGCCTGATAGGCTGAAGCTGCCTCTGTTTCCGGTTGACGTGGCGGCTGCTGATTCACCGCTGGAAATGGAGTTCGACGTGGGGCTGCACATACGGACAAGAACTGCCGTCCTGGAGCGACCGGATAGGCTGTTTGCTGAGTGTGAAGGGGCGGGGAAGAGAGGAGGGGAGAGTGAGGGAACGGGGAGAGAGGAGGGGGAGAGCAAGGAGGAGTGTGAGAGGAGGCAGGTAGAGAAGGAGAGGCAGAAGCACAGGGAGCTTTATCTGAACCCCCTCACATGGAAGTGTGTGGGTAGACTGTTGACAGAACTAGGGGAGCAAGCCAGAGTGGGTAGCAGCAAGAGGACCGGAGGAACCGGTGTTACTGGTGGTAACCAGAACGGAGGCCAGGGGCGGGCGCTGTCAATCTTTCTTGCGACCGACAACGAGGCGTTACGGCCCGAGATGGTAACCAGATTGGCTCCATACGGTGTTGTTTATTATAACGGAGCAGAAGTGGCTCATGTAGGGGTTTCCACGGATAAGCACACGGGGCGGCTTCCCACTATGGCAGAGTTTTACCTGCTGGGAAAGAGTCACGTTATAGTGGAACTCGATAGCTATTTGAGCACGTTTTCGTATTTCGCGGGGCTGTTTGGGAACGGGAGTATAGTGTCGGTGCCTTATAAGGTGACGAGTATTAACCGGTGCTCGCATGTTCGACCGGCTCAGAAGGGATCGTGGAGGCGGGGGGATGCACGCGGGCAGTCGAACAATTACTTTTTCAGAGACTTATGATAGGGAGGAGATGGAGGGATAAGGAGATGGAGCGATGGGGAAGAGATGGGTAAGGGAATGGGAGAGTGATTCTGATGGCTGATTGGCAGCTTGGGAACGGGAGTAAAGTGCTGGTGCCTTATAAGGTGACGAGTATTAACCGGTGCTCGCGTGTTGGACCGGTCAGAAGGGATCGTGGAGGCGGGGGTATGGGTGAGCGCAGTCCAACAATCATATTTTCACTGATCTATGATGGGAGGGAATGAGGAGGATATTGGGAGAAGGAGAGGAGGGGAGAGGGAAGAGGTTTAGGGGGATGCGGAGGGGATTGGGAGGTGGGATGGACAAAGGCAATCCATCAATTATGCCATACAGATCCATGATGGAAGATGATAGGGATGACTTTCGAGGCGCCTCAAAAGAACAATTATGCGATACAGATCCATGATGGGAGGTGATGGGGAGGAGGTGGGGAGGAGGTGGAAATGTGTAGGGAGAGATGGATGGGAGATGGCGGGACAGTGAGGGTCTGGGGAGGAGACGGAGGGTATATCGACCACGAGGGCGAGGGGTTTAGATTGGTGGTCACACGTTCGGTCAGCACAGAAGGGATCATGGATGCATGGAGATAGACAAGGGCAGGCGAATATTGCTTATGAAGCTGTAGGAGGGGGTTTGCTTAAAACAGAAATATAGAATAGTGAACCCCGTCCCAGCTTGAAAGGATCTTCCCGGGTGGGTTTGCAAAGCACTGTTTAAAACATTTCGTGTGTGCAGATCGAACCCATTTGATTGGCTCCCGCCAAAAACGAAATTTCTAGGCCTTACACAAGGAGTCGCATTCAACATGATGCACCCGCACGACGGCTGTACGGCGATCATTGCGATCGTTGGGCCCAACTCCAACTTCAAGCTGGACCTGGGTTCCACTACTTCTTTCCACTCTAGTCTCTAGTTTAGCCAAGCTTAGAATAGCTGAAAACGTATGCATTTTTGCCTAGGCAACTACCAGATATAATCCACATCCTTCTATTCGTGGCCTAGTGACGAGGGATCTTACGCGTCTCGTAGCGATACTTGCCTCGAGATTTTTCGGTTGAACGCGCTCGCTGCCGAAACGCTCTTTCGTCGCTCAGCTCATCACCTTCACATTCGCGTGGAATTGCCCTCGCGGCGGCCTTATTCCGTCCCCCCCCGCCCATCACCCACCTCTTCGCATTCGCGCTTGCCTCGAAACATTCTCTCGTCTCCCACCCCGTTTTTCCCATTTCGTCCCATCGCTTACGAGCTCTCCCCTCCTGTCCTGTCGCCCTCTCTCTCGCCCCTCCATTCCCGTCGCGCTCTCTCTCTCCGCGCCCTTCTCGTCGCCCTCTCTCTCGCCCCTCTCATCTCGTCGCGCTCTCTCTATCCGCGCCCTTCCCGTCGCCTCCCTTCCCATCGCACTCTCTCTCTCCCCTCCCTTCCCATCGCACTCTCTCTCTCCCCTCCCTTCCCATCGCCCTCTCTCTCGCCCCTCCCTTCCCATCGCGCTCTCTCTCTCCGCGCCCTTCTCGTCGCCCTCTCTCTCGCCCCTCTCATCTCGTCGCGCTCTCTCTATCCGCGCCCTTCCCGTCGCCTCCCTTCCCGCCGCCCTCTCTCTCTCCCCTCCCTTCCCGTCGCCCTCTCTCTCCCGCCTCCCTTCCCATCGCGCTCTCTCTCTCTCCGCTCCCTTCCCGTCGCCCTCTCTCTCGCCCCTCCCTTCCCGTCGTGCTCTCTCTCTCTCCGCGCCCTTCCCGTCGACCTCTCTCCGGTCGCCCTCTCTCCCATCGCCCTCGCTCTCTTCTTCGCTCTGTCCCGGCCAGGGGTTTTTTATCAGAGTAAATAACACCGTTTCTCCGAAAATCAGAGTGGTTTTTAGGGGGTCACTCTGACGTGTCTGTGTATTTTTTTTGGAAGATTAGTTTTCTCTGATTTTTCAGGGTTCTGATTTTAGCTACCGTACTCTGAGACACCACTGTATATTTGTGGGAAGACGTCGGCCGAATCCCTCCGAGGACCCCCTTTCACCCCTGCGGGATTTCCTCGGAGGGATTTTCGTTTTCCCTCTGTCGCGTGGCGGGGCACGCGAGGGGCGGGAGCCAGCCCACCCGCCCACCCTAAACGAGCCACGCCAGCTCGGAGTGACGCGAGGTGGTCCTCGCTCGAGCTGGCGTTGACCCCACGTGCTCCCCCCGGTCTGCACCAACCCCGCCTGCACCAACCCCCCTGTTCGTCGAGTAAATCCGCCTCCGTCGACGGATTCCGTCTCGACCCGACAGAAAGTGGTGCAGAGAAAAGCGTGGCAGAACGCGCCACAGAACAGCTGACACTGAAATAAATGCGTATACCTAAACAAATAAATACATAAACTGCAATGGGCAAACTTGATAAGGAATAGGAGGCACAAAAAAAGGGGGCATGCCCTACAATTATCATTAATACGTATTGTCAGATTTATATGACATAGCTGTTGTAGGCTATAGTGGGGTAGCACATATGGGGTACGACTTTCTAGGGTTTGTACTTGTACCCAACTTTCCCTTAGTTAATTCATTCTCGTTCATTTTCTCATGGTATCGAGCAGGTTCCTCTGTGGGAACTGTTCGTAGGGCCCACCACCTTTTTTTCCTGCCCGGAGCGCGCTCTACTCTGCCCGAGTCGCGCTCCCCTCTTTCGACCCTGTCGCGCCGCCTTAGCGACCCCGTCGCGTCGCGCTTGCGGCCCCGTCGCGTCGCCCTCGCGGCCCCGTCACGTCGCACCGCCCTAGCGGCCGCGTCGCGCCAACCTCGCGGCCCCGATCCGCCGCCCTCGCGGCTCCATCGCGTCGCGCCGCCCTCGCGACCCGTTCGCGCCGCCCTCGCGGCCCTTTCGTGCCGCCCTCGCGGCCTCTTCAAGCCGCCCTCGCGACCCCCCTCCTAGCCGGCCCCGTCGCCTACCCCTGCGGCCCCGGCGCCGCCCTTCCCTGCCCCGGTGCCGCCCTTCCCGGCCCCGGCGCCGCCTCTGCTGGCCCCGTCGCCTACCCTGCGGCCCCAGCGCTACCCTTCCCGGCCCCGGCGCCGCCTCTACCGGCCCCGCCGCCGTCCCCACGCGGCCCCGCCGTCACCACCGAGCCGCCGGCGCCGCCGAGCTACTGCTGAACCGCCCGAGCCACCCGAGCCGCCCGAGCCACCCGAGCCGCCCGAGCCGCCGCGCCACCTGAGCCGCCCGAGCCGCCGGGTCGCCGAGCTGCCGTACCGCCGAGCCGCCCGAGCCGCCAGAGCCGCCGAGTCGCCGAGCCGCAGTTGCTGCCGAGCCGCCGTACCGCCGAGTCGCCCGAGCCGCCAGAGCCGCCGAGTCGCCGAGCTGCATTTCCTGCCGAGCCGCCGAGCCGCCAAGCCGCCCGAGCTGCCCTGTCCGGTAAGAGCAGCGCCTCTATCACTGCACTGCCCTTACCCTACTGTTCGCGCTGCTAGTCTACTACTGTCATGGCTACCCCTAGTGTCCTCGCTTTTGACGCTGAGGGTCGGGCCATTGACTTTGACGTCTGGGTAGATGACCTGCAGCTTTTCCTACACTGCGATAGGGCAGACTGTCTCTCCCTCTTTAACCTCACTTCTGGTGCCTCTCCTGCCCCTGCTGCTGATGCTGACGCCACTGTTCGCTCACAGTGGGCCACACGCGATGCTGCTGCACGTCTTGCTGTGCGTCTTGCTGTGCGTCGCCACCTGCCTACCTCTCAGCGTGCGCACTTTAGCCAGTACAAGAGTGCTCAGACTTTGTACGACGCTGTAGTTGCACGCTACTCCTCCCCTGCCACTGCTGCACTGAGCCGCCTCATACTACCGTACCTATTCCCTGACCTTGCTGCCTTTCCCAAAGTCACTGACCTCATTACGCACCTCCGCACTAGTGACACTCGCTACCGCGCTGCGCTTCCTGCTGAGTTCTGCGCCAAGAACCCCCCCCCCCATGTACATCACCCTCTACTACATAGTCACCCGGCTTTCTGACTCTCTCCGCGTAGTCAAGGACCACTTCCTCTCAGTTTGCCCCACCACTCTCACCGTTGACCTCCTCGAGAAGGCCCTCCTAGCAGCAGAGAAGAGCATAGTCGCTGTAGGAGCCTCTCGTGGTGACCCTCGCATCCCCGTCTTTGAGGGGTGTTCCCCCTTCCCCCTTTTGCCCTCTGTTGCCACTGCTGCTGCGGCCGACCTCGTTGGTTTCGAGTCAGTCGGCGCTGCGTCTGCCTCGAGCGGGAGACGCCGCAACGGCAAGGGCAAGGGGGGCAAGGGCGCTGGAGGGGCTGGCGGGGGTGGCGGAGGTGGCGGTGGAGGCAGTGGAGGGGGTGGGGGTGGTGGTGGGAGTGGTGGCGGGGGTGGAGGTGTTGGTGGCGGCAGTGGAGGCGGAGGCGGCGGTGGCGGTGGGGGCGGAGGTGGTGGAGGTGGCGGCGGAGGAGGAGGCGGCGGCGGAGGAGGCGGAGCTGGTCGGGGTGGCGGTGTGCAGAGGGTCGGCTCCGGTGGTGGTCAGCGCCAGCAGCAGCAGCGCACTCGTGACATTCCCCCCCCTCAGCAGCTCCGTGAGTGGTACGCTGCACGCCAGCGGGGTGGGGGTACTGGTCCGTGCACCTACGTCCTACGCACCGACGACCGTGTGGGTGAGTAGTGCGGGGGTGCGCACTCCACCCAGCGCTGCTTTGGCCGCCTGACGGACGCTTGGCGTCACCAGTTCCCTGAGGCCACTGAGATCCCTTGCTGGGGCGAGCTGTCTAGGGCGGGAGTAGCTATCTTTGACCTTGACTTTGATGCTATTCTTGCTGCCATGTATGCTGTGACTATTAGTGATGAGGGTGACTGTTACCGGTGTTTTCCGCCCGACCCGGGCATTGAGACTGCTACTCTAGGTACTTGTGAGGCTGCTGCTCTACGTGCTAGCAAGGCTGTTGCTCTAGGTGCCAGTGCGTCTGCTTCCTCAGGTGCTGGTGAGTCTGCTCTCTCAGGTACCGCGTCGGCTTCGGCCTCCCACACCTTCACCCTTGACTCGGGGGCTTCTCGCTCCTTCTTTCGAGACCGCACCACACTCACGCCGCTTGGTCGGCCAGTTGCAGTCTCTCTGGCAGACCCCTCTTGGGGTCCTGTCCTTGCTCACTTCTCCACTGTCCTCCTGTGTCCGGCGGCCCCCTCTGGCACCCTGTCTGGTCTTTACCTCCCCTCGTTCTCTACGAACTTGGTGAGTGGTGCTGACCTACAGGATGCGGGGGTTCACCAGTTCACTCCTGCGAGTCAGCGGGTGACCCACTCCACGGACGCTCGGACAGGCCGACACCTGGCCACGTTTACACGTCGGCCGGGGTTGAGCCTGTACACACTGACCACTGAGTCTCCTCCTGTCCTTTCGTCTGGTCAGGTAGCTGCGTCGAGTCAGGTGTTTGCTGCAGCGTCCAGGTCTGGTCCTGAGTCTGCCCCCTTCTCGTGTCGCCTCCTGTCTCACGAGACTCTCCTCTGGCACCACCGCCTTGGTCACCCCTCCCTGCTTGGTCTTCGAGGCATGGCCTCCCGTGTCCTTGTCTCTGGTCTTCCCCGGTCCCTCCCTCCCCTTCCCCCGGGGCCTGACCCTGCCTGCGTCCCCTGCGTCGAGGGGCGGCAGCGTGCTGCCCCTCAGTACTCCCAGTTTCTTCCGAAAGAGGCCTCGCTGCAGACGCTTCACATGGACGTGTGGAGCCCAGCCCGCGTCCGTGGACAGGGTCACGAGCGCTACTTCCTGCTGGTGGTTGACGACTACTCGCGTTACACCACAGTCTTCCCCTTGCGCAGCAAGGGTGATGTCACTGAGGTGTTGATCGAGTGGATCCGCGTAGCTCGTCTTCAGCTCCGGCAGAGCTTCGGCTCGGACTTTCCTGTTCTGCGTCTGCACTCTGACAGAGGCGGAGAGTTCTCCTCTGGCTTTGTGCGAGCCTACTGTCGTGCACGAGGCATCCGCCAGACCTTCACGCTTCCGTACTCTCCACAGCAAAATGGGATTGCTGAGCGCCGCATTGGCATGGTCATGGACGTCGCCCGTACGTCCATGATGCATGCGGCTGCCCCCCATTTTTTGTGGCCGTTTGCGGTTCGGTACGCGGCGGATCAGATCAATCTTCAGCCCAGGGTCTCCATGCCGGAGACCTCCCCAGCTTTGCTGTGGACGGGGAAGGTTGGCGATGCGTCTGCGTTCCGTGTCTGGGGATCTCGGGCGTTTGTCCGCGACTTGTCTGCGGACAAGCTGTCCCCTCGTGCTGCTCCCTGCGTCTTCCTTGGCTTCCCCCCTGACGCGCCAGGGTGGCAGTTCTACCACCCCACCTCTCGCCGTGTTCTATCCTCCGAGGACGTCACGTTCGACGAGTCGGTCCCCTACTACCGCCTCTTCCCCTACCGCACTTCGTCCCTCCCCCCGCCACCGCTCTTCCTTGTGCCAGGTCCCCCCCCGGTAGACCCCCTTCCCCCTCAGGGTCCTGCCCCTTCAGGTGTGTCCCACGTAGACGCAGTCGAGCCTGTCGAGGTTACTTGTGACTCTGGTGCTGCTGGGGGTGCTGCGCCTGGGGGTGCTGACTCTAGGGGTGCTGAGCGTGTAGGTGCTACACCTGGGGGTGCTGAGCCTGGGGGTGCTGAGTCTGAGGGTGCTACGACTGGGGGTGCTGAGCCTGGGGGTGCTGAGTCTGGGGGTGCTGAGCCTGGGGGTGCTATGACTGGGGGTGCTGAGCCTGGGGGTGCTACGCCAGGAGGTGCTGAGCCTGGGGGTGCGGAGCCTGAGGGAGCTGGGCTTGCTCGTGTGGTGTCTGGCGGTGCTGGGCCTGGAGGTTCTCCGGGTGCTCCGTCTCGACGGGAGCAACTC